TGTTTTCATTCCGGAAAATGGACATTGATCAGACAGTGTACTTGACGCTAGTGTATTTAACACATTTTTTGATAGTCTTCTAGCTGGTGACTGTTGTTCTCCTGTTGCATTTTTATTGTCCGAATTTTTGGTATTTTCCTCTAAGCTATTTTCTTGAGTCTCTTCCTTTTTTGCGTCAGGTAATGTACTTAATTGATACATTGTTTGTTGGAACACCGTCGCTGCGGACGATTCATTCGTCTCTGATAATTCATTCAGTGCTTCAACTTGATTCAAGTAAGCTGGTTTGGCACCAGTCAGCCAATATGTTGTCATTACTTCTTTTCCCTGAACACAAGATTTGAAAATGAAACAAAATGTGACTTTGTTTTTTCGAGGGACGCAAACTTTTAATACGATCAATTTCAGTAAGTAGCAATGGACAAGAAATGACAATCGACTGAACTTGATTATCATAACAAATATTCTATATGACTTTCTCTATATGCATTTGGTTGATTTTCCTAGCATTTCAACTGGAACACTAGAGAATAGAGTTTTTGAATTCTTATCAATTATTTACCTTCATTTCGGTTCTTCCTCGAAAGGCTAACTCAAAATATTGTGATGATTTCAATAAATGATAAGACGTATCGCTGACGTGTATTTTACCAACCTAGATACAAAGAATAACATATGATTGTGAGAGAAATAAACTTTTATAATTACGTCGCCAGTCGTGGTTACACGTGATGCTAAAACCAAAAGGAATCAAACCCAACAATTAAAACTGATTAACATGGAATTCGAACCTGTATTCACAGTATCGCCAAACAGACAATATTGAAAGTTTTTATGACCAACAATGCCACCAACAGCCCCACCAGAATGAAGGCCTAAAATTATAAAATATTAAATTTTGAGTGCTAAATAAATTATTTGTATACTGACCAAATTTGACACGAAATGGCGCTTTTGTGATCGGATTGATAATTTTTCTAGAATGTTTCAGTAAATCTAGCGCCAAACCCGCAATTACTTCAGCTTGATTTAAGTTCAGTGGATTTTTTGCATTAAGAGTGATATCATCAGCAGTCGCTGAGTTTATTGTTGTTGCAACGCTCTATAATAAAATGAAACAATTGTATAGGGCAATCGGATCGAGACAAGAATCTAACGGAAAGAACAAATACTAAGCTCTGTCTGAAATGGGATACGAACCTACTGACCTATCAGAAAATCGGTTTGGTGTCTTCTCTAATGATTAGATCGGTAAGAATATGTTAAAATCTACCGTCACTAGACGACGAGTTGAAACATTTGAAAACAGTCTTGATAAATAATGACTACCCAAGAAAAGTAGTAAAAAATGAAACATGCAATTTATAAGGGAAAAACATGGGAAAAGTTAACCACAGAAATAATCTCGATGAACAAACAAATAGCGAAGCCAGATGATATTGGTTTTCTCCATTTTACAGATGAATTTACATGAAGATGGATCCACCAGCTTTCAAAAAAATTTATAATTTCGTATCAATTATTTACTTTAGTATGAGAGATTTTGATTTAAACACATATTGTTAAAACAAATTCAAGAGCGGGAACTCATTTGGATTGTCTTCAGATCTTCCCAGTTTGTAAAGGATATTTCAAAGTGATTGTCCTGAAATTTTTACAGGCTTGCTGACTTTATTTGACTGAAAAAATTTGACTAAAAAAGCGTTGTTAATTATTTTGAGTACGGGTCTATTATTCAAAAAGCTTTTTAGCTTTCTCTGGATTTGCTACACTAAGAAAAATTTTAACATTTTTAAAATAATCCATTTTTCTCAGCCACATAATGTCAGTAGTAAGCCTGTAAAACTTCAGAACATATACTTCGCTGTATTCTCTGCAAACTGAGAACACCCGAGGAAAAAAGTCAAGAGTTGAAAATTTCCCTGGTTTATGACCAAGAGAAGATTTTCTCATAGCATCTTACAGCTAGTTGCACTCGAAGACAGCATTTTGAAGCAAAACTCTGAGTATAAAAGTTGTTCAGAATTGAATTTCGAAGTCTCCCATTAGAACTTTGAAGTCTCTCATCAAACTTGAAAAGTTGAAAACATTTTTTTCCTTACACAATTTAGTGTTCTCTATCGAACAATGCTAGAATCAGTTCTTAAAAAAGTTTTTATTGAAAATTTTAAAAATAGGGCAAAAGAATCTCAAAAATATTTTTATCAAAAAAATGCAAGTCTGGGAGCCGAAAAATTTTTTGGGACTTATACTTTGAAGTATTCTCTAATCGGATGAAGCAATCCTCCTCAAGGTTATCATAGTGAGCATTTTTCTAATAATGGGCGGACATCAGAACGTTTTGCTCATAAATTATTTTTTCATCAATCATTATCATTGCTTAGTCATCTTTGATGCTTTTTTAAAGAAAATATAAACATTTTCAGAAAAAGTCATTTTTTTCGAAAAATCGGTCTTGCTCGGAAAACATATCCATGGATTGGATATTTTTTCAATCCAACGCTTAATCTGTTTTGAGGTTGGTAAACTATGGGAATCTAATTACATATACTAAGCACCTTTTCGGAAACTGTATCAGTTCGGAAAATAATTGTTTTCTCCTAGATCGTAGGACTCAACTAAAGTTATTTTTTTATTGATGGATAGTTTAAAGTGTCTAGGTTCAGAATCTGTAGTGTTTTCAAATTTAAATCGACGTCGTCTAATCAAAAAAAAGTGTTACAGGCTCTTTTTTGCATATATTTTTTTTCCAAAAATTCAGCACTTGGGGGTCAAAATTTTTCTACCATTAGATAGCTCGTAGACTAAAGTACATTTGATACTATTGAAATTTGGAAAAAGAGCACTTTCGATTTTTTACCAAATGTCCATCTCAATGCCCACTGTGGGTAAGTCATATCACACATATTGTCTGCCTACGAAATATTACCGCCTGAGAGTTTTTACGATGATGATTCATTGGTCGATCTTGAAATCCAGCAACAATCATATAGGACGCATCGGCTTTTGTTTCAACCTGTGTGAAACAATTAGATTAGATGAAAATTTTTTATTTGAATAAAGTTATCACTTACTTTAAAAACATTAAATTTTTCTGTACATTTATCAAATACATTTACCATTTGATTCATACATTCAACAATTTCTGTCGGATCAAGTTTCTGAATAACTTCTTTGAAATCCATTGAATAGGCAAACATTATGGTAATCAACTTATGAGACTAGAACATACATTAGACAAAATATTTTCTGATAAAAAGAATTGTAAAGTATAAAGAAAGATGAAGAGAGAGAGAAAAGTACTGCTTCATGTTCCACTAGGACACATAAATTTCTTGACATTGTTAAAAGAAATTATAGTGTCTGTTTGAATCGTTTTATATTCTCATCCATCCTTACATATTTAAAATCATCAGCATTTTATAAAATACAAAAGGGAGTACTTACTTCACATATCGAATTTGGCTGAATACCTTCTTGCAACATGTGTGCAATATGTCTTGGCATTATTGAATATAAAAGACGTTTACTTTTTCGACGAAACTCTTGCAATTCGGTTTTAGACGATTGCAATTTTGTTATCCACGCATGTTGCTAAAACAACATTAGGTCATATGTTATTATTTAAGGTCAGAAAACATTTATTATTTTAATTCTATTCCTACAAATGTTATCAAGGAAAGATACACACACATGCACTCATCAGACCATCTATTTTCAGTCGAAAAAACGATTTCAATTTTTCAACGTAACTAAATAGCGTGAAGAATCGTTTTTCAAAATCTTCATTAGTTGGTTTCTGTAGGCTTTTATAAGAAGTAGAGTTATGAAACTCGAGCTCAGTTTCTCGACCAAAAAACAATTTTCTGATGAGTGTGTGTGTGCATGGTCTTCATTTTGAAACACGACTATTCTTCTCACTTTAGACTTCATGAATTTTTCCTTGAATATATAGATTAGAAGAGTAAAATCCTCTCATCGAGCTATACCGTAATTCTCGACATTAAGAGGTAATCGGCTTGTTCAGCTAACAGCCTCCATTTCTTGCTCTTTTTCGAAATTATTGCAATAAAGCTACAAATTAATCTAAAATGGAAACTAGATGATTAAGTAGATTAAACATTTCTCTACAAAATGAAAAGTGTCTCGGCTCTGAACATTGATTCATTATGAAAATACAGCTGTCATACAAACTGCCCAAAAAACGATCAAGAGTGTCACAGTGTTACCGTTTTTCTGTTTTTTCTTTGATTAATACAGATTAATTAGAATAATTTCGAACTTGATAAACTATCACATCTTGTAGAGCGAACAATTTTCTACAAACTGGTATACTTGTTCAATTTTCACCAGCTCGTCTTCACTCTTTTAGACACGCTTTTTAGATAACCCAAAAATCGATTTTTGGGGCAGTTTGTATGACAGCTGTATTTTCATAACGAATCAATGTTCAGAGCCGAGACACTT